ATGTGCACACACACACAGACAGATTCACACATAGAGAGAAACCCACATGTGGCAGACTGTGTTTTCCAAAGATAGTCACATCAATGACACCTGCCCTGGATGCTCTCTGAGGAAGAGGTTTATCACTGTATAAAGGGAACGATGTGATGTCCCACCTGCCCTTACAACTCCAGCTTCAGCCAATGTGGAGGACATTTTGTTTGTTTGTAGCCCTGGCTGTCTTGGAATTCTCTCCGTAGACCCGGCTGGCCTCAAACTCAGAGGTCCTCCAGGCTCTGCCTCCCTAGTGCTGGGTTTAAAAGTGTGCACTACCACACCCAGCTTGTAGAGAACATTTTTTTACCTCTTCCATCAACAGAGAAAATTAGAACGAGCAAGTTATGATTCCAAGGTGATGTTATAAACGTACCATGGGCCTCTGCCGTCTTCTTTGGGGTCTTGCTCTTAGGACCTGGGTCATGGTGTGAGGGAGTCAAATGGTCTGTGCAGAGGCAATTGCTCTTTCTTTTTGAGCTCAGAGGAGGTGGTATGGCCTCTGTTCTGTCCTCTCTTCTGTCCCATAGGTATACAAGCCTTTGTGGTACCCATATTCTTTATACAGAGTGCCCAGGGCGGCTGGAAGGCTGGCTCAGGAACCTGGGCGTAACTCAGTCACTCTGGGTTGTTCTGGTATGTCACTCGCCCCCCCTCCCCCCCTTTCTCTGATCTTTGGAACATCAGCAGTCACCATGTTCTCACATGCCTGTGAGCTTGTCTCTTGGGAAGCTCTGAGCATGATCCGTGTTTAGTCACGCTCGTGTGAATTCACATACAGAGCTATTTCCACGTTTCTGTGTTGTAGGTCACTCCTGCATGTGGGACAGAAATCAAGCAACCACCGCAGAGTCTATCAGGAGGTTCTCCTGCCTCCCAAGCTGGGGAGGTTACCTCATCTTTTAGTGTAGTGATTTTTGGAAACAGTTTCCCAAATTCCAGAACATACTCCTAAATGCTAGGGACACATCTGGATGTTGAACCAGCCGTGGGAGGATGATGCTAGCTGGTGAGTACCAGTCAGGGACCACACTAAAAAGCTCCTAATGCGTAGGATGCTGTCTGCTGACAGGTAGGTCATTTATTGCCTGGTTCCAGGTGTTTATGGTGCTGAGCTGGAGCAACCTTGTTCTAAAGGGAAGTTGCACACGTGAAAACATGTGAGTACCTTCATTCATTATTTATTTTTGTCTTGCTAAGCATCAAGCACACAAGCTTGTGCCAACTGGCCAGTGCTCCACCACTGAACTATAGCCACTCCTGCGGCCTTCAGAGGCAGGGTCTCACTGTGTAGCCCAGGCTGGCCTTGCTATCCTCCTGCTTCAGACCACAGAGTCCTGGAATTACGGGTATGCCTAGTCTGGGAGGACTGTGAGCTTTTGGTTTGGAACTCCTATTCTCTATCTTCCCCTCCTCCTTTTGATGCCAGGGAGGGAACCCAAGGCTCTGTGCCAATGAGGCTCGAAGTGGCAAGAGACTCCCTGCCACTGAGCAATCCTCTAGCCAAACTTTGATCTTAAAACACAGATGCCGGGCGCTGGAGAGACAGCTCATCGGTTAAGAGCACTGACTGCTCTTCCAGAAGACTCAGGTTCAAATCCCAGCATCCATTTGACAGCTACAATGGTCTTCACTCTAGTTCCAGGGGATCTGGCACTCTTTTCTGGTCTCCTCGGGCACTGCATACATATGGGACACAGTCACATACATACATGCAGGCAAAGCATGCACATAAAATAAAAATAAAATACAGATGTTAAATCAAGTGTGATGCTATACACCTGTGAGTCTAGAACTCAGGAGATAGAGGCAGAAAGACCAGAAGTCCAAGGCCATCCTCATCTATGAATTAAGGCCAGTCTGGGCTGCATGAAACCGTGTTTCTAGGCAGATGCAATACAATAGAACAACATAAAATAGGATGGAATACGAATAAATACAAATTTCTTTATTTTCCTGTTGATACTGCCCTGGGGTCTCACTGCACAGTGCTCAAGAAGGGAAGTCCCAGAAATTTGGTTTTTCACTTTAGGATGGTCCTGTGGGCTGGGGGTGGGGGACACAGGACTTACCTGATCAAGTAGAATCAAGGTGTAGGCACAGGGAGAGACATGGGTATAGACACACACTCGCCTTCACACTACACACACACACACACACACACACACACACACACACACACACACACACACACACACACGTCCACTAGTCCATCCAGCCCACACTCCTTTCATGCTGTATTGCAGCTGTCCACGCCATCCATCACTCCAGCCGAGATTCCTCCCACTAAACAGATATTCTCTGACTTCAGAGGGTGTGGCTTGACCTTGTCACTCTCCAGTGGTGTGAAGTGTCCACACCGTCACAGCTTCGCACTTTGAGGAAATTCAGTGAACAACAGGAGTATCGGCCACTTTACTCTGAAACAGCTGCAGTTCGCCGGCCGGCCCGCGGCGGCTGGCTGAGCTGCGATGCTCCACGGCTTTGCTGTGTCCAGGGCATCCCAGGAGGGACTCGGCCTGACATGGAGTCGTCCCAGGAAGAGTGAGCTAGAAGTCCCACGGATCGGAAAACTCGGTGGGCACTGTGAGAATGAAAGCAGGCAGAACTGAGACAAGCTCAGGGAGGCTTGAGGGGGGGCTGACAGGGACAGGAGACAGCGGGCCTGACTCTGGCGGGGAAGAGGAAGTCAGGTGAAGGGACCACTGGGTCCATGCTGGTGACAGGCAGAGCAGGTGAAGGGTTCTGCAGTGCTTGGGGTGCAGACACGGACAGGGGACGTCAGCTGGAGCCTCTCTGCAGAGTCCACAGACTCTCTTGAAATCTAATTCCAAGGGAGTAAGCTGACAGCACTCGGGAGGCAGAGGCAAGTGGGTCTCTGAGTTCGGGGCCAGCCTAGTCTACATAGTGGGTTTCAGGCCAACCATGACTGCATAGTAAGACCTTGTGTCAAAATAAAAAAAGAAAGAACAAATGCCCCCCTCTCTGCCTTATCTATCTTTCCACTCTTTGGAGCCCATCCAAACCCCTGAGTACATTCATCCTGACTCTCTACAGAGGAGGCAAAACAATGTTTTGATTTCTTTTAATTACCTTCTGGAGAGGATGCATCTCTGTCCTATTACATACAGAACAGATGGACCAAAACCCATTTATTTATTTGTTTGTTTGCTTGTTTATCAAGATAGGGTCTCACGTAGTCCAGGCAAGCCTCAAGCTGCTCCAGACCTCAAACTCCTGATCCTTCTGCCTCTACTTCCCCAGTACTAGCATTACGGGTGCGTACTGCCAGACCTGGTTTGTGCAGTGTGGGGATCGAACCCAGGGTCTTCTGCACACGAGGCAGGCTTTCGACTGATGGAGTTATACCCCAGCCCAGGCCACTCTGGTCTGTTCTGGTTACCACGCATGTAGTGAGTGTAAAAACCCGCCTTTCTCACAGCCAGAAGAGGGGATGGGTCTTGCTGACTCTGCTAGATGGCTTCCCTAGCCAACCATTATGCTCTGAGAAGTTTACAGCCGACCAGGAGCACGGGTAAGCACCCCTGCCTCTGCTACACCCCCAGCTTGGTTTTGTTTTTAGACAGGATCGCTACATAGCCCAGGCTGGCTTGTCCTGTCTCAGCCTCCCAGATGCTGGGATTAGAAACGTGTGACACCAGGCTTGGCTGAGGCAGGGACTAGTTCCGGGCTTCCATGACCCTCTTGCTTCAGTTCTCTGGGTAGTGGGGACTCCAGACGGCTTGTGTCCCCATGCCTGGCTTGTCCAGCTTCTTTCCCCTCTTCATTAACTACTGGTTCCTGCTTCCTTCGCCCTGACACACCAACTCCATTGCCTGCTGTCCCAGCTAAGCGGCTCTCCGGGGCTTCTGTCTGGGAGCAGCTACAGAACCTGCCCAGGACAGTTCTGCCTGTGTTCCCCAGTAGGAGCACCCCCAGCAGCCTTGCTTGCTGGGCCCCAACAATATCACACACCAGCACCTTTTCAAATTTGGAGAACTTAGAAACAACAATTGTACCTTCATTCTCCAGTCCCCATCAATGCATCTGAAAGTGAGTGGGGAGGTGGTGTTTGCATTTGGGGCATCTCAAGAAAAATGAAGACTAGAACCACGCTGGGAACTCCCACTGTCGGTATGAGAGGCCCTTCCGGGTCGGGGAAAGAGCTGGTGACAGAAGCACTAGACAACTTGGCAGAAGTCCAAGATGATGACGGGTGCAGAGCTTCTACCTCCTCTCTAGTGAAGAAAGAGAGGAAGGCGAAGAGGCCAACACTTTCCAAAGACCGGCTTCTCCATGGGCCCCAGGGGAGCCCGTGCCACCTGCAAATTCCTGCAGGGCTGCTACCTAATAAAGGCAAACTTAGGGAATCGCCTGATAGAGCCCAGGAACCAGAAAAACTGGTCCCAGCTCTGGGTTGGAACTGTTTCCTGGATTCTGCCACCTGCCCCCTCCCCACCTCCCCCAGCCCAGCTGGATCTATAATGGCCTCGGGCAAGACAGAAATTCTTCACCCCCAGTAAACCACCGTAAACTGTAATTACGGGGGAGGGATGATTTCAGGGAGTTCTTGGCGCGCAGCTGCTTAGAGCTACAGCCTCGTAAGCAGGGGACTCAGTCACAGGGAACGGGAGACCACCCTGCACGCCAGTGTGGGGGCCTACGGGGCTCACTCCATGGAAGAACTGATGTACAACTTGCAATTCCTGTTTCCTTGCCTGCCAGAGCGCAGACATCAAGGGCTTGGTGGCAGGTCACACGGGGTGGGGGGTGGGGGGGGGCTTGGAGCTTGGAGATACCCGGGGAGCTGCCATGGAGGGAAGCAGCATGCAGAGCATGCAGCCCTTAAAAGTGGGGGTGGGGTGGGTTATTTACAGATTTGGAAGATGTTCTCGGGCTGTGTGCCTGAGGCTCAGTGATAGGACGCTTGCCTGGCGTGCTCAAGGCCCTGGGTTCGATGCTCAGTACTGGGAAGAGCAAATGTGCTCAGTGGATGGGAGTGTTGGCAGACTGCCGCTGTGAAGAACCAGACAGCAAACTTGGGTTTTGCAGCCCAGATGGTCGGTCCCAAGAACAGTGACAAACAGCATGTAAACGGCACAGCGGAGTGATGGTGACAGACACAGATGGTCGGCAGAGCCTAAAATATTTACTGTTTCTGGCAGATCGGGGACCAAGTGTGAGGAACTCTTAATGGTTCTGGGTGGATGGCAAGCCACAGGAGCAGCTAGGTTCTGCCGGTGCCACCAGGATGAAGGAACTGACTGTCCCTGAAGATGGCCCACAGGGCTGAGCCTCTCATGTTCCCCTGTGAAAACAGGCCTGCACGAGGGAGCCCTGGCAAGGGGCCTGTTGGGAGAGGCGCTAGATTTGGGCCCATGTAACATCCTGGATCTTGAGCTTGTGACACCTTGGATCTTGAGCCCGTGGCTTGCTCTGTCTGGGGCTTTGGCTAGGTATTCGATCGGATGGTGGTCCCCACCTGCACTCACTGTAAGCGAGTGTCCCCTGAGGACACGAGGAGGTTGGCCAGAGTGGACTGGCCCTGCTGTACTCCCAGGCTTCTTGTTCCCTTAAGACAGTGCCTGGTGTTGGCCTCACTCTCCGAACTGGGGTCACAGATGCCTGTGAGCCCCTCGTGGGTGCTGGGAAGTCCTCTGTAAGATCAGCCAGTGTTCTTAACTGCTGAGCCATCTCTCCTGCCCCAATACTAACCTTTCATGACAAACTACATGACAGGAACATCTTAGGAGGAAAAGGTGCATTTTGGCTCCATGTTTCAGAAAGACAGAGTGAGTGGCGAAGCTTCCTCATATCTCCATGAGCCAGGAAGCAGAGAGGGCCATGGAAGCCAGAGTGGGAATAACCTTTGAAGGCTTAGCCCTAAAACCTGCTTCCATCAGTCAGACCCCACCTCCCATAAGCCTCACATCCTTCAAAATACCTGGAGATGGAGCATTCAAAACTCAAAATGTGAGCCTATGAGGGTCATTCTAGATTGAAACCCTAGGCTGGGGCTGTAGTTCAGTGGTAGAGGACATTCCTGGCATGCACAGGACTCCAAGTTCAATTCCCCTGTGCCACCCCGAGGATGGGCAGATTCACAATCCACCATGAATGACATTCTTAGACGGAGAGACACAGACAGACCAACACCATGAGGAGAGTGCTTGTCGAGGAGAAGCCCACGTGGCCATCAAAGCAGAGATGGTTGGTGGCTGTCTTCCACCGGACACCAAGGGTTGCCAGACACTAAGAGGAAAAGGCAGAGAACATCCTAGAACCTTCAGGGGCTGGGGCCGTGTCTCAGTTGGTAGAGTGCTCATCTAGGATGTGTTTAGTTGGCTCTGAGTTCCATCCTCAGCACCCCATAAACCAGATGTGGTGGCACAGTCCTCTAATCCCAGTGCTCAGGAGGTGGAGGGAGGAGGGTCAGAAGTTCAAGATCAGCCTCAGCTACAAAGTGAGCTCAAGGTTAGCCTGGGTTTATATAAAAGACTTAAGTATTAGAAATGTTAACTTCCTGAGTTTGAGGTGTGCGTGTGTGTGTGTGTGTGTGTGTGTGTGTGTGTGTGTGTGTGTGTACACCATTCTCTCCAAAAATGGGGGAGGACTCTACTTGGCAAATGCTTTCCCAGATGTAACAACACAGTAAAAAGAAAAGAAAGGAGTTGAGCATCTGGGTTCAACTTCTCCCCCCATAAAAGCTTTGCACACTGCTGCACCCTGGGGCCCGGTGGACCGAGCATGACTTCTGTCCCAGAGGGACGCCAGCCTCTTCCTTAGCTACCCTGCCAAGCACCACTGTCACCCATGCAGCCATTGCCGGTCCAGGTGCCTCACTCCGCCTCGCAGACTCAGAGGACACCTGAGCTGTGGGTCTGCCTTTCTGACTGAGACCCGGTCACCCGGAGGATTCTCCAAGGCCGGAGTCAGGGGACGGGGGCTCCAGGCATTCTACATTGGAATACGGCCGGCCGGCCGGGAGAATCAGGCAGGGCTTTGGGTGCCTGTGTGGAGCCTACTGCAGGGAGAGGAGGGGGGTGAGGCTTGGACCCAAGATCAGTGTCATCAGGTGACGTCATCATATGACCCCTGTGGAGGAAGCAGGGTGATTCACTCAAGAATGAGTTCAGCAGCTGGGCAGGAGAAGATGCCTGTAATTCTGGAGTCCAGGAGGCTAGGATTACATGGTCATGATTTGGAAGCTAGCCTGGGCTACATAGGGTGCTTGCTAAAAGACTCAAATGACCATCAGTAAACACAGATAACTAAAACATAATTTATCAAT